CTATATAATACCTGGAGTGTTTATTACTTAATCTCCCAGGTGTTTGTGTGTGTGTACTATAACTGTCATTGATTAATAAGTGCCGGTCCTATCAGTTAGAGAGTATCCGACACTTCTTAAGACACCCCATCATAAAAATGTATTAACAATTAAATACTGATAACTGAATATATGATATATAAATGTTTGATGTGTGACATTATCTCTACATATATTGATGAGTGGGAATTTATATATTATATACATAAGTGAATAGTGTATAAAATACCTATAAATTCTGTACACTATCTGTTGTTTAGTGTATAAACACTATCTATTAATTGTCAAGACATATATTAAAGTGGTTATTTTATGAACAACATAATTGTGCAACATTTATACAGTATATACAAACACACGTATAAATACTGTATTTAATATACATTCATAATATTACGGCACCGGGAGATACAAAATGTCAAGTAAGGAATTTATACCTATGTCATATATTTATATATATATCGTATATCTTATTGTATACTCATTTAACTTGATTATTACATTATAATAAATATATATCTAATAAATACATATCTCACTATTCTCTCAATATTTACTCACGATTGTCAGATTAATCACTCTCAATTGTTATAGATGTTTCCCTAATATAAACTAGATTATACGCCAGTTCCGTAATATATAGATAGTATAATACTTGTGTATATTTCTGGGTTATGTCTTAAATACCAAACCACTCATCAAGAAATGTGTTGTCCCGTCAAAGACATAAACCTTATCATTGGATATATCGCTACAGATTTATAACTACCATGTGTTTTGATTGACACACATTTACTATTACAATACACTACTATACGATACTATTTACACGTAATGATTTTTACTTACATGACTTTTCTCACTTAATAACAGGGCTTAAGAAATGAGTGAATTTATATATAAGTGGTATTTTTCCTGCGATATATACAATATTTTGCTAGAAGTTATGTCTCTCTCACTCCCACTCAATAGACACGTATAGATTAGATATCAAAATGTGTGTAAATCTTGTTTTACTATAGATTTCTTTCTGTATAAAAAAATATTTATAATTTTCTTAAAAATATGTCTAAAATTACTAATAATTCAATGAAGAAATCAACAGAAATCATACAAATTTATATTTAGCAATTTGTTTTTGACAAATATTCTACATTAAAAATATCATAGAAATATACAATAAATGTTGCATAACATAAATTCTATGAGTTGTAGTGTGTTTTTTAGCAGAATATTCAAAACAATTTAAAAGTAAACATTTTTTGCTAATTTTGATTTTGTTTTTACTTACATTTAATATATTTTCACTAATATAGCAATTAGAGAGAGAGAGAGAGAGAGAGAGAGAGAAGTTTGTATACATTGTTAATGTTTGTTTAAGGTAAAGTTTTGCATCTATCGTCTCTCTCGATGCTCACTCATTACAGCTATTGTCATATTAAATATCTTTAAGTTAAATTATAAGAAAGAATAGACCTGTTGTCCTCCCTGTGCTCTCTCTCTCTCTCTCTCGCTTTGTATGTGCTATATATGGCTCACATTGCATACTACCCGTCATGACTGCATACATGTATTCTCACTCTCTGTTCAGTCGCAGCACAGCTTTCTTCAAACCCGGTCGATCAGTCCATTCAATACTTGAATGTAATCTCAATGTTATTTGAATGACAATATATTTAGTATTGATTGAATTGTGACATTCATTCACTCAGTCATCCATTGTCTGAGTGGACACTATTTGTGACAGACATCGCATAATCGGTAGTCAACTGGAGCTCAAGATGGGTGACGAACAGTATATTGGGGTAAGTAATAAGAAATACATAGAAATAATATGCAAAAAAGTATTGACAGTACAGTTGTGTATAAATTATCGTATAAAATGCCATCAGATTTAATAATGATATTGTAGAACAAAAAATATTGTAGAGATTAGATTACAAGTAATGTTATGTTTGAATGTAAATTGTTATGAATTAATACTGAACACAATAATGTGTCATAAATGAAATGTTTGTGAATTGACTTTATATACAAAATTCTTATGTCTTATCGATGCTAACAGCCATCGCTTGAATGGAATTATTGTATTGGCTATTGATAAACTAACTTTAAAAATAATGTTTAAATAAATGAAACTTTTATATGTTTTAAAATATGTGTTAAAATACTTGTGTTTTCAACTCTTGGCCTCCGATCGTCACCCGTATCAGATCCAACCTGCAGTAGGTATACTAAATGCCTACAATATTGTAGGAGCAGATATAATTTTATATAAACAAATTATTGATTCATTCAATTTCAATGTAATTATACAATTACTTTATTATGTAATATTAATGTGGATTGCATTATGTAATATGTATTGCACTTCTATTGCTTCATCAGTGATTAATCATCACAATTATACCGTATATAAGGCACTGGATCTAAGCCTTACATGTCAGTTCTCTCCTAATTAATACTGTATTTTACATATAAGTTTAACCAATAAAATATATAATTAAAAAGTAAAGCTAAAGTGTATTATCATTGGGACAGACCTGCGGGTCTGCTCCTGACTATTATACCCATATACTCTCATCGTAACGAAAGTACCTAGGTTAGAACCTGCAGTAGCAAACTTGAATGCTACAATATGACAATTGTTTTGCATTTTATCACTGATTTTACATGAATTGCAATCATTTTCATGAACAGTAGAATTTATGGTAAAGATTGTGATAACTGTTTGGAAATGCGAACAAATAATAAATTATGTATTTAATTAATACAATGAATACAAGAATTGCAATCATTTTTATAAACAGTAGAATTGATAGTAAAGATTGTGATAACTGTTTGGAAATGCGAACAAATAATAAATTATGTATTTAATTAATACAATGAATACAAGAATTGCAATCATTTTTATAAACAGTAGAATTGATAGTAAAGATTGTGATTACTGTTTGGAAATGCAAATAAATAGTGAATTTTGTATTTAATATTACCAATGAATATAAGAATTGCAATCATTTTCATAAACAGTAGAACTGATGGTAAAGATTGTGATAACTGTTTGGAAATGCGAACTAATAGTAAATTTTGTATTTAATTATAACAATAAATACAAGAATTGCAATCATTTTCATAAACAGTAGAACTGATGGTAAAGATTGTGATAACTGCGTGGAAAATCGTATCTCTCATACACTCACTCTCAATGTCTTGCACTCGTGTCGACGGAGAATTTTGTCAAAGAATTTATGTTAAATTTATACTATATTAACAGAATATGTTTATATAATACATTACAGATATTGTGAATACACATTATATTTCAAATAAGATTTTTATTACATTAAATTAACCGACTGTACGTCCATTCACTGTACACTCGAATGTAGATCCAGGGTATCAACCATGAGAAGTACTCTAGTACTGGTGAGTGAGACTGTATCGTTCCACTAGTCTTGAGATGCAGCTGATCTCTATGGTGTCCACTCAGACTCGTACTCTGAATCAATAAATATCACAATCAAATCAAACTTAACAACGGTTTTATTGAGAGACTATTGAGATTGTAGTCTATGACTAATATATATATAATCCAAATTATTCAATTAATATTATTATATAAGTAAATTGATACTTAAATTCAAGGTTTGTTTATATAAACATTTTTCTATCTTCAATACATTATAGTCAATAAAATATATTCAATTATTGTTTCACTTTTGTTCTGTATCTCTAACGGTAAACTTAAAAGAATTAAATAAATTTAAACTAAATTAAAACTAATTATGTGACTACAAGACTACATTCATGTATTGAATGGAGGGATATGTCCGTCAATCAAACAATGAACTAGATAATTATTAATTAAAACAATATAAACGGTTACAACGGACTGAATCGGTGGTGAAGTCTTTGTTAGGACTTTGAAGAGTTTGCTGTGAAGTCTGAACACCAACTGTTGAGTTGGGTATTCGTGGCACAAGTGGTGCTGTTTGTATGCTTTTCCGTCCAGATTTGTGATGAGAAAAGCGTTGGAAAGGGTTTGCGCCGATTGGTTGAGAGTTGTTTCTGTGCGATATTGTGCTGTAAAAGGGGTGAGTGTAAGGAAATGGGCACCGATTTTGGGAATATGGGTTATGGTATGCGTTGATGAGAGAACTGGTGACTAAATTCTTGGTAATCGGATTAAGTTGAGGACAGATTAGGGTCAATGAGTACCAAAGGCTTAGCGGTCACCACAATATTTATATTAAACGTAAATATTCAACATATCAGTCAGGAAATTCCAAAACAGGCTTAACTTTTTGAGTAAACTTTAAATATTTTGAGTTAGTCACTTTATAATGGTTGATTCAATGGTTGAATTCAATACTAAAATTATGATTGAAACTAATAAAAAAGTTAAGCCTATTCTGGAATTTCCTAATAGATATTTAAAATATGAAAAAATATATGTATTTTTTTGTAACCATTTTTGTGTCCCCAAAATATTCGGTAAAAGTAGTTATGAAGTTGTGGTGAAATATTTGACTCCAAAACTATACAACACTACAAACCAGTGGAACGAGTCATTCATACGACGAGTTCAAGCGTTCACTTCCAACGCCTCTCCTATATATTGGACGCAATTTTGCGGACAAATTCCGCACTAAGTCTATGTATAGTCTATGGGCTATACTTTCGCGACACAACTAATGCTACACTAATTGTGGATTCGATTCTAATATTCAATGTGTTATTCATATGATTGTAGTATTCGTTCGCTTCTTAACACATCTGTTCTCGCGTTCAGATTGAGGTCGAGTTAACGCATATTAAAGTACGTCATAATCGCAGACACAACGCATTGCGAGACGTCATTTGCGTTCGCGCTATACGTCTGCTCGCTTTGGAGGCCTTTTTGACACTACAGTCCCTAAGCAGTGAATGAATGGTGTATTCAATACAACATTGTGTATAAAAGGGGACCAAAAGTGTGGCAATCATTTCATCACTAAATAATAGCACAAATAAATGCCAACAAAAACATTATAAAAACAGACAAACCGTTCAAATCGTTTCGTAAAACCAATTGAACGACACATTGACTGACAGAACGATGAACTCTGACTATGAAGTGGCGGCCAATAGTGGCCAACAGTGACCGCCAGTAATGACTGACCCGACGACGGGTTGTGTCCGCACAACAACTCTATTGACGCCAATGTCTGCGAAAGTAAGTGTTGTTTGCAGTGAGTGTTGAGTCCATTGTCTCACACTTTCCGACGTATACTCTGTTTAGCCGTTAATTACAGTAACGACTCAATCGCTTGTCTCGACCGCCCATTCATGCAATGCTAACCCATTAGTAATGTTAATCCTATGGCTATTCATACGGATTAATGCGTGCAGTCGTATGCTGTCACTAAAACCAAATACCATTCCCATAGACTTAATGTTAAAATTATATCAATGCTGTGAACTAATGTATGTTATGAACCAAATGCCCGAACCGTTTGGTTCGCAACCAATAGGTTTGACTGTATTTTGAATTACAATTAGTCTAATCATATGGTGTGTAAGATTGTGCACATAAAAGTGTGCATGGTCACCATGGTGCATTTGCCTAATTTATGAAACAACATGGCACTCCATGTAAACTCTATGGCTATACTTTAACACGAGGCTAATGTTATCTTATGCTCGCAACGCCATGTCAATGATACAGTGCAACCTCTCCATAAGGAACGGCCAGTTGCGCGGCAAAAGTGTTCCCTATAGAGAGGGTTTCTCCAAAGGGAGGTTCTGTTATAGGTATAGAAAATACGAAATATATTTCAAATCCGTTCATTCAAAGGAGGTGTTCATCCAAGAGAAGTTGCCACACGAGAGGTTGCACTGTATACCCAAATACAACTCTTAATAAGCAGAGCATTGCGTTTAACTGTAGCCACTCTTTATATGGGTTAATAGCTTTACCCCTGGACTCAAAATGTGAACGAATCACGTATTGGGTGTCAGTTTACCGAAAGTCATGTTTACATTATTTGATTGTAATGTAAACACAGAAATGTTTTGAAATAAAACCGAAACAAACGTGAATTTTAGTCATAGAAAATGAAGTGATTCTCGGCTTCAATCAATAATTCACGTCTCGATTTGCAATTAAAAGTATATTTAAAATTACGTTTAGCTATACATTAAGTGCTCGATTCTAACAAGTTAGGTGTGCTCTCACAAGAATAGCGTGCATTAAAATTACCTTTTTAAAATAATTTACATCGAGGTAATAATTACCTGGTAAATTTACCTCTAAAATGCCCACTCATGAGATGGCAGCACCGCTAGAAAAGCACTGTTAACGCTATTTGTGACTTTCGAGTCCATCTCCCATATCATAGCCTTCTCGGCTGTCATAGAATACCTGTTTTGCATAGTTTGCCCATGCGCATTTTGCGTAAAATTGATAAATTACATACATGCCATAAATGCCATACACCCTAAACAGGAATGGGAACTAATCTCTAGATCACGGATGCTTTCGGACATGTTTTCATTAGACGTATTTGTTGTACAATCATTGTATCAAATATCTGTATAGTATTAGTGAGTAGAGTGTCGTACATAAATGATAAGACAGATTTGCACCTATGTTTACCTGCTACGGGTTTATTGCACCTACTCCGTTCTCACGAGATTGCTGAACCCAATAAGTTTGCTAACTTAAGAAGGGTACATCGCTTGCTATAAGTTAGCTTGCTTGGCTGTTCTCACCATGCTTAAATTAATTATCTCACTTGAAACAAGCTTGTGAGAACGGAGTATTACACCTGGTATGATAGCATGACGTGCTTTATATATTAGCGTTTGGGGTCATTCATAAATGATGTGATTGTTAAAATAAATATAAAATGTAAAGAAAGAGAAATATTATTAGTTTTCTGGTTTAAATTTATACAGTCAACTTCTTTCCTGTGAACACCGATGCTGTGAATATAGCGATGTTATGAACCAAAAGGGGACGTTTACAAATTACGTTCGCACTTTGTCAGAAATCGAGACCCCCTTCCCTCCATTGTTCGCAAGTGTTCGTATGTAGTCATGTTAAAATTACGTTCGCATGTCCCTAACACACAATTCAGGTGAAGCCTTATAGAAATTCTTATATTAGTCGGTAATCGATGTGTGAATTAGTGATTGAAATTTTGGACTCAGAGGCGCTGCTCTGAAACGGCTCCGGTTCTCGACCGGCTCTAAGAGCCGTCTGTTTGCACGGCTCTGAGGGGTAGAGCCCTGAAGAATGTTCGCATTGAAACAATTTAAAGAGTTTAAGGGATTAATTTGTATTAAAGTTAATCTTTTGATAACAAACGTTAAGTAAATCTATGACTTTTGAATAGAAATAGTTTTATTTCCAGATATTCAATGGGGGGGGG